GGGGGCAACTTCTCTAAAAATCTACATTTTCCAGCGCTACTCTTTAGTAGATAAAAAGAAGAAGAAAACCCCAAAAGAAGGTATGATGGAAGCAAGACAACTGCATGTCACCAGTTCCTTTTTCAGAAATTTTATAAAATTTTAATTGGATGTTTTGTGTTTTTAAAAGGACTTTTTGTGAACTTTACGGTGACAAGTAGCCTAAAAAGGAAGGTCAGTCACCAAAAATGTTTTAGTCTTGGAACACAAGTAATAAATGGTGATCCTTTTTGGACAGTTTTGTCTTTTATTTTATCAAAAATTTTTCCCAAAATGTGTTAGTTAGATGACTGGCATGACTCTATTGTTAAAGGAAAAGTATGATGTACAGGGGAAAGACACTACTAATCTGAGGTGGAGAGCATATATTTTAAATTAAATTAATTAAAAATTTGATTAAAAATTGCAGCCTGGTATTGTGACTGTCACAATAAATAATAGCTTGTCTTTGTTTTAAAATTTAATGATGATTAAGCTTGTATATCGGCTTCTAGTCTGAGGACTTATCACACCTTTTGAAATGTTTTTACTTGGATACCAAGAGACCTTCTTTTGGATTTTCTGTTTTATTAAATATGCATTTTGGTCACTCATGTTCCTCTTCAGTTTAAATCAGATGCTTTTTGGGTTACAAGTTCTTTTACAAATTCACTGAAGACTATACAGGTATACCTCAAGTTACGTCATTCTTGATTATACGTTGTTTGTCAAAAAAATATACAGAAAAATAAAAATCAAGTTTAAGTCATTTTATTTGACTTTACGTCTGTCCGCCACAAATATTGAAGTTGTAATATCACTAGAAAAGTGTCAAAGCACATAAAATCATATTAAAATATGTACATTTACAGTAAATGTTAATATAATCATCATAAATCCTAGAGAATGAAACATGAAAACATCTGTGACTGTGTAGTCATCTAGTGGTCTTTAACTCAATATTGGTGTTTTCCACGGTAGTTCCAATATCTACTGTTTGGCTTCGTTGTCAGCGCCACTTGATATTGGGAAATTTAATATAAATTAGTTTATTTTCTACTGTCGCAAGATAATTTTAATAACTGTATTTGTTATTTAACCTTACAAATCATCTTATTTTATAATGTCTTAGAGCAAACCACATTCACTAATAAAGAGTCTGCAATGTACTGTAAACATTGCCAAATTGTAAACATGTACAGTACATTTACAAGTATGTACATAACATGTATTCGTAAATTTAGATTATTTTTTCTGTACTATATTAAAAACTAAAATTTATTTGCATGTAAGCTTAAAATAGATTCTTATTAACAATATATTATTAAAAATGCATTTATAAATAAAATACAGAACTGGTTATGGGAAATGGTTATTTGTGGTTTAGCCTAGTGACAAGTAAATTTGACTTACGTCGCCTCTCCTGGAACCAATTACCGACGTAAGATGAGGTATATCTATACATTAAATATACATTTTTTTCTTTTTTAAATTGCATTCTCCCTGTTATTGGTTTTATCTGAGACAATTTCTAAAAATATACAGTCGGTTCTGCTTAATTGGGCCAAATCTCAAAGAATGGAAACTAAACTAATAAACTAATACATAATTTAAACACTTAATTGGGACAAGTTTTTGCTTAATTGAGATAGTAGCAGAAAACAGTTTAGCAAATTTTGATATATTTTAGCAATCTGAAAATATATCAACACTACATACACTAATGTCATGTAGGCCTAACAATTGGCAGAGACATAGCAATTTAGTCTTTCACTCAGGTGGTTAGGTTTTTCGGGAGAGGGTTAGCATAGCGGGACGTATCACATTGGGATCTGTCTGAGGCCGACCTGAATGCAGGTTACTGACCCTGCTCCGGATTGGACTCCACAATCCTCTTAAAAGTGAAGAGACAACAATTCCTGGACAAGTTTTTAAGGTCTCTTGACCAAGTTGGAAGACAGGTAGAGTTTCCTTGGAAGATCTTGAGTGCATGATTATGTGTAGACCTGAACAGCAGTCACCTGATCATTGGACCAGTATCCAAAGCTGGCAAATTCTTCAAATGCTCCCACTGAAGTGGCCCATCTCCAAGTAAAGGAAACTGTGCTCAAAGAAAGGCCGTAAAATGACTTTCGGATGAATCTAGACATGTTCTAACTAAAAAGGGAGAAAGGAAAGATCATTCAATCAGGAGTGGATTGAGTGGTCAACCCTTGTATACGTCACTACTAATACTTGGCAACACTATATGATGCAAATTAGTTATCTAACATTGTGAGTCTTGCAAATTTATAGTACAAATATTTTCTGTATTTTGGTTTAATAAAGCATTAAAATAGGTACCTAATTATGATTTTTTACCTACTTATTTATTTATCTATGTATTACATATTTTATTTTAGAATTTATTATTAGTTCACTTAATTGGGCCAAAATGGATTAGTCCCAATGTGTCCCAATTAAGCGGAATCGACTGTATTAGATCTTTGGCCATTTTAATTTTCTAAAAGGGAATTTTTAATGTTAGAAACTCATTTTCTTTTTTCTTTAACAGTTTTTTAAATTCTATTTTATGAGACTAGAATTTCTCATTTTCCCCTTAAAATGATCTAGAGATCCTAATATCTTTTATTAGTAAAGTACAGGTTCCATCTTTACGTGTATATTCTGAACTACTACAGTGTTTATACAAGCTGTTATGTGGTGAGTACGTGGACGAACAATACAATGAAAGTTGCCTACAATAAAAGTTTTTATTGTCAGCTCGTGCAGTTTTACATATACAAGAATTTTAGGATCCCAACTCCAATATATACGATTTCCATAACATATACTTCTGTTGGTACAAGAGAGTGGCATGGTTTTTCGTGACAATGTAAAATTTTAATTAACCTATCTTAACCTAACTTATATACTAATGAAGAAATATAGAATGAACAAGTTAATATTAATTAAGATTTAGATTAATAAGAACAGGACAATAATGCTGATGGGGTACCCGTGTTTCCTTCCTTCCTCCCTTTATACTTTGCTAGTATCAAGGTAAAGACTTTTGTTGATTTTCCTTCCTTTCTTCTCTTCCGTTATTTCTCTCTCTCTCAATGTTCTCAGATCACTCAGTTCTCTTTGGTTTCCACGACCAGGACCTCCTCCTATCACCGTCTGTCTCCCTCGAACGCTAGCTCCAGAATGAGTCTTTTTTCCCTGACTTGCCTCGGGGTCTTGTTCCACACCCTTGTTTTCCGTTGTATTTTTCAGAAACGTTTTTACCACCAGCAGGGAGGAAGGACCGTTAGAAAGTTCGAGAAAGTTTATAGACAAAAGAATGAGGAAACTTAATATTAAGTTTAATACTAAAGACAAATATATAAACATTTGGTGTATCACCACAGTTATATACATTCATTGTTTTTCTCATACATTGAAAGCTGGCCAGATGATGAAGCAGTACAGACTGTTGCCATGAAGAATCCAGGATCAAATTCCAGTTGAGTTTGCTGCAAAAAATTTTCCACGTAAAACCACCTGTGTATCTTCTCCATCCAATACCCATACTGCACCAGTGGCCAAGCGGATTTGATCCCTATACAGTGGTAGTTAGCTCGAGTTTGCGCTTGGGCCAATGGGCTAGCTGGCGCAATTTTTGGATTTTATTTGCATTGATAATGCCCAAGTAGGGGCTACTTTTCCTTAAAACACCATTCGGAAGGCACATTCTTTTGATTGTAGATGGTGTTGTATGCCAGTACCTAAAATCAATCAATTGATACACTAGCACATTGAAAAAATTATTTGCTTTTTGAGTGGTTCATATGCTACTCAGTTTCAATTTTTTTCACATAATTTTGATTTCCATAGCATAC